GTGCTCACTTTTAACAGGTCGGTTCCTTTCAGTTCCCGAGCTTTTGGTAAATTGGTACCCGTTTTCCCATTCTTGTCAACGTTTCCACACAATAGTACCAAATGAACGTTTGCAAACTCAGTGAAGTGTTTTTATCGCTCGTTCCGATTCCCATGGGAAAAGTAAGTTCGGAAAGAGTGTAGTGTGGTCATCACGTTTTAGAATGTTCCCACTGCCCTTTTCAATTTCTGGACTTCTCTGTGTCGGGACTCCGAAATACGTTGAAACTGCTCCACGACTAACTACATGAAAATCTGTTCCAAACGGTTACGCTGGCAGATGGATTATGTTATTTGTGGAGGGAATATGAATTATAGGTGGGTGAACTGATGATCACAGAAACGGCGAATTTAGTGATAGAGAGCGAAAAAATTCGCACTGCTATAAGAAGCTAGGTTTGGTTCCACATGGCGTGTCGTTAAGCGATAAATAAGTAACCTCAATTAAGGTTAAAGCAATTCTTGTGAACATTTTTGGTGGTATCGTGAACTGCGCGACAGTTGCAAAAGGCCTCATTGCAGCGTTCAACAAAACTGGCCTGAAGATTCCAATGGTTGTACGCTTGGAAGGTTTCATTCTTTGTGAAATTCTGATGCTTTTTTTCTTCCTTCTAAACAAACAACCACTTCAAAATTACAGTAAGAAAGCAACCGTATTTCGTTTCGTGTGGCTCTGAGCACTGCTCTAAATGAAGGTGCGCTCTGACTCTTCCCAAGGACAGAAGATGAATGTTACACAAGTTTGCGGCTGAAGACTTCAACCTCTAAAGCGATAGTTCATCCTTCATCGCCATTCTATTTGCTTATGCAGTGCAGTTTTGTTAGAAAATGAAAGTCTTTAGCACTCAAATCTCCAGTTTGATGGATAGTTCTAGCCTTCCCAAAACAAATAAAAAATTTACAAAACAACCAAGTCCGAAAAAACGAGAAGTTAACAATTTTTCAGGAACAAATGTGAAAGCAGCACAAGAATTGTTGCAGAATAGCAATCTTCCAATCATCGCAGCGGATAGTTTCGAGGATGCTGCTAAAAGAGCTGCAGCGTGTGTCAGTTCATCTTGAGCTTCGGCCATTATCCAGAATTCTAAGTAAACATTCAAACTGCTGTTCTGGTTTTGTATGTAAAAATAGAATAAAAATCTGCCACCTTAGACAATCTTTCAAAGAATCCCGAATTAACTCACCACAAGTAAAGAATCCAAGACAGTCAGGAACGACAAACAAGACTAAGACAGAAGTAGTCTGCAAAACTCAGTTTCGTCCAATAATTTTT